AATGATAATATATTAATCTCCATGAATACCGTCTACTAACTGAGCTAATCTGCCATCCATTTTTAATGGCGTGCGCGATTATCAAAAAGAACATTTGCGCGATTATCAAAAAGAACATTTTAGGTATTAGGATAGTTGAAATTAATATTTCAGTTTCTTCTGAGAGAAGAAAAAAAGTCCTTACATTTTTATAAGACTTAAAATAATCATTTCTAATGAACAAAACTATCTGTAATAACCACGCTTAATATTTCACGGCTAATAAGAAGGAAGGAGAAGATTTACAAGGGCAGCCCAATACATAGTCTACACACAATTTTCGTTCAATGGGTGAATGTTGGGGGGGGGGGGGGGCTAAAGTGTCAATTTTATTTAAAAACAAACTAAAGGGATTTGGTTACCCACTTAATTGAAGGTAACACCCACCCCCCCACCCCTTCGAAAAAATCAAATATTTGAAACATTTCCTGGCAGTGTATTTCCTCTCCCCGATTTTTATATTCACGTACGAACTTGCTAACCTAACCATTCTAATCAATTCCCTAGCACAGTCCTAAATAGTATGCTGGCCCAGCTCCTCTATCCTTAGCCTTACCTCCCTACATAACCTTTTTTAGGTAGCTTTTAGAAAGAGCAAAGATGAATATTATAGAACGTCACTTGAGTCTGCTGGGGTTGTTGGCATACCATCAAAAATGGCGGCAACCAGCAACAGTCTCAGGTCTTTTGGATGTCTACATAAGGTCTTAGGAGTAAATGAGTAATTATGAGGACTTGGGGAAGGCACAGTCACCATGAATGGTTTGGTCTGCAAAAATTAGGCGTATCCTGGAATTGTGGATGAGCAATAACACTTAATTTCTTATTATGTCTAGCCCCGAAGGAAGGTTGAGGTCTTTGACCTCTCTCGCAAACCACATTAACTGGCCTATGTTGTCTTTTTATGAACCTATACCCACAGTTGATCCAGGGAATAGTGAACTTGGTGTAGAGTTATTCCTCCTGACGTCATCACAGAGGACAAGGGGGCGCTCTTTACATCTGGAGGAAAATAAATTTAATCTCCAAATAAATGTAATCTCCTCCACTCTTCCTACTACTCCATCCCCCACAGCTATCTCCTCCTGTACCACCATCCCCTCCCTCCTAGATTGTAAGCTCAAAGAGCAGGGCCCTCGATCCCCTCATGTTTTGCATTGTATTGGTATTGTTCTGTCACATGTTCTGTCCCCCTTTGTAATGTACAGCGCTGAGCAAACTATTGGCGCTTTATAAATACTGTATAATAATGTAGTCTTGTTATGAACCAGGAGTGGACTGACCATTTGCAAACTCGGACACTGCCCAAGGGCCCGGGGTCAGTAGGGGGCCCCATGAGATGCCCATGGTACCTTTATCATAGGCTTTTTTGAGTTTGGGCAAGGATACAGGGGCCCCTCGATCCCCTATTGTCCGGGGGCCCCATGAGTTGTCAGTCCGCCCCTGTTATGAACCAATATTAAATGTTTTTTAGACTCTCAGACCTTTCATTGGATGGCCTCCTTTGAGAATGTACACGTTGATCTTTAAATCTGGGCTCCCAGTTCAAGGGGCGCATCATTTCTGTTGAGCGCAGAGCCACTGGTCCTATAGCAGTCTGATTAATCTGCTGATAATTTGAATCCAGCTCCTCGTTTTTACTCAGTCCATATTGTAGAACACGCCTACTGTAACCTACAAGGCCAGGTTGCGATACTCTCAGATTTGGGTATCTATGGCCTCCCTCTCCCCACCAGGTTTGATAGAAGTAATGCTATGAAAGTTGATTAGACAATATCCTTGTCAATGCGGCATTGTGAGTATGGCAGACTACGGTAATAGAGAGCGCATTACAATGCCTGAGGGTGTCACCTGTTCTGCGGCAGGCTGTGATCAGGCTGACAAAAGCTTTGCTGCAGGAAAAAAAAAAATTACAGGTCACAGTCTTTATCCCAGATACATTATATCAATGATTTATAAAAGCTCGGGATGAATGGACCTCCCACCGAGGCGGCTGGTGCAGAGAATGGATCCACACTAAGCTTCTGAAAGGAGGAGAGAAGGGAAATTAAAGATTCGGCTGACATTAATAAAATCACTAAATCGGCTCGGCTTCCACGCGTAGCAGCTATGATTTAGAATATTCGATCATGCCCCCTTTTTTAGGGCAGTTTTTTTATTAGGCAACAGCAGACCTGATGTTAACATTAAACTATATTAACAAGTCTTACTACACCGCGTTCCAAATTATTATGCAAATTCTATTTAAGTGTCACAAAGATGAAATATTTTGTTTAACTCATGGATGGCATTGGTGTCAGGGTTCTTTTGATCACTGAAAACAATCTGGGACACCTGTGTGATAATTAGATTGGCCAGTGAGCCCAATTTAAGGAAAAAACTACTAAAGGAGGGTGTTCCACATTACTAAGCAGAGCACCATTTTCAAGCAATATGGGGAAGAAAAAGGATCTCTCTGCTGCCAAAAAGAGTGAAATAGTTCAATGCCTTGGACGAGGTATGAAAACATTCGATATTTCACAAAAACTTAATCGTGATCATCGCACTATGAAGAGATTTGTGGCTGATTCAGAGCACAGACGGGTTGGTGTGCAGATAAAGGCACATTGAGGAAGATTTCTGCCAGATCCATGCATCGGATCAAGAGAGCAGCTGCTAAAATCCCATTACATAGCAGCAAACAGATATTTGAAGCTGCTGGTGCCTCTGGAGTCCCACAGACATCAAGGTGTAGAGTCCTCCAGAGTCTTGCAACTGTGCATAAACCTTCTATTCGGCCACCACTAACCAATGCTCACAAGCAGAAACGGCTGCATTGGGCGGAAAAAAATACATGAAGACTAATTTTCAAACAGTCCTGTTCACTGATGAGTGTCGTGCAACCCTGGATGGTCCAGATGGATGGAGTAGTGGATGGTTGGTGGACGGCCACCCTGTTCCAACAAGGCGGTGGTGGAGTCATGTTTTGGGCCGGAATCATGGGAACAGAGGTGGTCAGCCCCTTTAGGGTCCCCGAAGGTGTAAAGATGACCTCTGCAAAGTATGTGGAGTTTATGACTGACCACTTTCTTCCCTGGTACAGAAGGAAGAACTATGCTTTCCGTAATAAAATCATCTTCATGCATGACAATGCACCATCTCATGCTGCAAAGAATACCTCTGCATCAATGGCTGCTATGGGGATAAAAGGAGAGAAAGTCATGGTGTCTCCTCTATCCTCCCCTGATCTCAATCCGATTGAGAACCTTTGGAGCATCCTCAAGCAAAAGATCTATGAGGGTGGGAGGCAGTTTACATCCAAACAGCAGCTCTGGGAGGCTATTCTGACATCTTGCACACAAATTCAAGCAGAAACTGTCCAAAAACTCACAAGTTCAATGGATGCAAGACTTGTGATCTGCTATCAAATAAGGGGTCCTATGTTACAATGTAACGTGACCGGTTCAAATGTTTAAAAAGTTAAAATGTTGTTAAAAGTTTGATTGAAATAGCTTTTGATTTCAGTAAATATGCTGCAAACACAACAAATGACAATTTTCAGTTCTTTACAACCTATAAAGTGTTTTGAAGCTTACTGTGCGGAATAATTTGGAACAAAAATCCTGTTATCATTAGGAGGTTTGTTCAATAAAATGTGACTTGTACCTTAATAGTTGATAACATGAGAATTATGCTGACTGGTATTTACATCAATTATTGAGGGAAATGAGAAAAATATCATTTGCATAATAATTTGGAACACGGTGTAGATGGACAGATAGAATATACAGTTGATGGATGGAAACCCTAAACCAGCCTCTCGCAACATTTCAACACAGAGAAAACATTGAAATAACATTCTGGTCTGATGGAACCCCTGCTAAAGATTACTATATCCACAACCATGATACATTAGTGTGATGGTCACTAGGAAGAATGATTCTTACCAGGGCTTTTTTTCTCAGAAAATAGGTGCAGGAACTCAACTACGACCATCCACCACACACACACCCTAGAAACCACATCAAATAGTGGGTGTGTTCAAATTTCACTAACAGTACAGGGGGCTTAAAGGGGCCCAGGAGTGCATTACATACAGAGTGCAGAGTTCGGGGGGGGGGTACACACAAAGTGAGTTCAGGGGTGCGCTATGTGCAGAGTTTGGGGGTGCATGATGTACAAAGTGCAGAGTTCGGGGTTGTGCTGCATACAGAGTGCAGAGTTCGGGGGTGCGCTACAGAGTGCAGAGTTCAGGAGTGCGCTACACACAGAGTGCGCTATGTGCAGAGTTTGGGGGTGCATGATGTACAAAGTGCAGAGTTCAGGGTTGTGCTGCATACAGAGTGCAGAGTTCAGGAGTGTGCTACACACAGAGTGGAAAGTTCGGGGATGCACTACAAAGAGTGCAGTGTTTGGGGGGTGCGCTACAGAGTGCAGCGTTTGGGGGTGCGCTACAGAGTGCAGAGTTCGGGGGTGCGCTACAGAGTGCAGAGTTCGGGGGTGTGCTACACACAGAGTGCAGAGTCCGGGGGTGTGCTACACACAGAGTGAAGAGTTCGGGGTTTTGTTCCACACAGAGTGCAGAGTTCAGGGGGTGCGCTAAACACAGAGAGTGAAGAGTTCGGGGGTGCACTAAACTCAGCGTACAGAGTTCAGGGGTGCACTACACACATAGTGCAGAGTTCAGGGGGTGCACTACACACAGCGTGCAGAGTTCAGGGGTGTGCACTAAACACAGAGTGCAGAGTTCAGGGGTGCACTACACACAGAGTGCAGAGTTCAGGGGTGCACTACACACATAGTGCAGAGTTCAGGGGTGCGCTACACACATAGTGCAGAGTTCAGGGGTGCACTAAACACATAGTGCAGAGTTCAGGGGTGCGCTACACACATAGTGCAGAGTTCAGGGGTGCGCTACACACAGAGTGCAGAGTTCAGGGGTGCGCTACACACAGAGTGCAGAGTTCAGGGGTGCGCTACACACATAGTGCAGAGTTCAGGGGTGCGCTACACACAGAGTGCAGAGTTCAGGGGTGCGCTACACACAGAGTGCAGAGTTCAGGGGTGCGCTACACACAGAGTGCAGAGTTCAGGGGTGCGCTACACACAGAGTGCAGAGTTCAGGGGTGCGCTACACACAGCCTGCAGAGTTCAGGGGTGCGCTACACACAGAGTGCAGGGTTCAGGGGGAGTGCAAAGTTCAGGGGTGCACTATACACAGCGTGCAGAGTTCAGGGGTGCACTATACACAGCGTGCAGAGTTCAGGGGTGCACTATACACAGCATGTAGAGTTCAGGGGTGCACTACACACAGAGTGCACAGTTTGGGGGTGTGCTACGTACATAGGGCAAATTTCAGAAGTGCGCTGCATGCAAAGTGCAGAGTTCAGCCTTCTTCTACAACTGCTTACCTCTGCATCCCTCATCCACATCTTCCTTTAACCCCTCTTCAGCTCTGTCCTCTGCATGCAACGTCTTCACTTCCCCATCTTCTCCCCCCCTTAAAAGCTCCACCATCTTTCACATGTCTGTCTTTTGTTGCTGTATTAAGCTGAAGCACCCAGCTGTCTCTAGTACCTCCCCGCACACTGTAGGTGGCTCCGCATCTCTCATCTGTAGCAAAATCAGTGGGGGTGTCAGAATCCGCACTGCACCCCGGACACCTGCATCTCTTTTGTCCACATCTTGCACTCAATGGAAGCCACTCAGGAGATCAGATCTGTGGGAGCCAATCGGTTATTTGTAAATACAGAAGCAGGACTTCAGTGTTTACAAGTGATAGTGGTGAGCAGGGAGCAAAGAGCCCGAGCCAAAGGTGGTGGAGCCAAGTTCCACCAAGTCCCAGCTGAAAGAAAGCCCTAATCCTTACACTTGTGGTCACTGAAAGAATGACCCCCTTACAGATAGCTAAAAAGTTCAATGGCTTTATTGGAACTTATTTGAGAGGCAGAAACTGCTCTTTGCTCAAGGAAACCCCTAGCAGCCTCTGGAGGAACCCTAGTTGAGAAAGCCTTCCCTAAAGTAAAATAGCTGGAGAACAAGCTGTTTTTGGCTCCAAACAATGCTGGTCACAGCCACTTGGTCATTCGTCGGCAACTACATCAAGTTCACAGAGCTAGGATTGCTAATTCTCTCTCCTCTTTTGAAGTCTGAATCCTAAATTTCCTTAATTCTGCTGTTCACCCCCATCTCCAGGATCTCTCCCCCCATCTCCAGGACCTCACCCCCCCATCTCCAAGACCTCACCCCCCATCTCCAGGACCTCACCCCCATCTCCAGGACCTCCCCCCATCTCCAATCTCCAGGATACCCTCACCCCCCATCTCCAAGACCTCACCCCCCATCTCAGGAACTCACCCTCATCTCCAGGTTCTCACCCCCCCCATCTCTCCAAGATCCTCACCCCCATCTCCAGGACTAACCCCCATCTCCAGACCTCACCCCCATCTCCAGACCCTCATCTCCAGGAACTCTCCCCCCATCTCCAGGATCTCTCTCCCCATCTCCAGGACCTCTCCCCCCATCTCCAGGACCTCTCCCCCCATCTCCAGGACCTCACCCTCCATCTCCAAGACCTCACCCCCATCTCCAGGACCTCACCCCCCATCTCCAAGACCTCACCCCAATCTCCAGGACATCACCCCCATCTCCAGGACATCACCCCCATCTCCAAGACATCACCCTCATCTCCAGGACCCCACCCTCATCTCCAGACCCTCATCTCCAGGACCTCACCCTCCATCTCTCTTAAGCATATTAACAATTAGGTTGACTCTGGTTGTACTGGTCTGTATTACATTCCTGATTTGTATGTTTGTGATCAAACAAGCTGACCATACATTATTATTATTATTTCAGGTACTTATATAGCGCCGTCAATTTACGCAGCACTTTACATATATATTGTACATTCACATCAGTCCCTAACCCTCAAGGGGCGTACAATCTAAGGTCCCTAACTTACATTCATACATACACATACTAGGGACAATTTAGACAGGAGCCAATTAACCTACCAGCATGTCTTTGGAGTGTGGGAGGAAACCTGAGTACCCGGAAGAAACCCACGCAGGCACAGGGAGAACATGCAAACTCCAGGCAAGTGATTCCATGGTTGGGATTCGAACCAACGACCCTACTACTGCCAGGCGGAAGTGCTAACCATTTAGCCACTGTGCTGCCCATGGATTCAGCCGGTTCAGCAGGGACCAGCCGAACTTCGATCCATGTATGGCCACTGTGGTTGAACACACGCTGCAAACGTGTAAACCTAGCCTAAAGGGCAGATGTACTTACAATTAAATGCTGCAGCACGTTTTTATTATAAAAGGAGGCCATAGCTGTACTATTTTGCAGTCTATTATTTATTTCAGGTACTTATATAGCGCCATAAATTTACACAGCGCTTTTCATGTATACGTATATATTGTACATTCACATCAGTCCCTAACCCTCAAGGAGTGTACAATCTAAGGCAGTGGTTCTCAACCTGGGGGTCGCGACCCCTTTGGGGGTCGAACGACCCTTTCACAGGGGTCACCGAAGACCATCGGAAAACACATATTTCCAATGTGTAAAGAGCAGCTACTGTGTAGAAAGCAGCTACTGTGTAGAAAGCAGCAGTAATGGAGGTAAAACGACACTCATTAATTATATAATTACTGGGTAAATAATTTTATGGTTGGGGGTCACCACAACATGAGGAACTGTATTAAAGGGTCGCGGCATTAGGAAGGTTGAAAACCACTGATCTAAGGTATATTAAAATGCATTTAAACGAGTATGTACCTGCGATCTGACCACTTATATCAGTTCCATAATGTCAGCTGAAGTCAGGAGCAGCGCCTGCTGGGAACCGCCAGCTCCATAATTTTCTGCTCTTCTATACCTATCATAACTCCCAGTGATATTAAACACTCAGCACGCCACTGGCCTGTATCCATTGTCCAGAATCAATACAGAAAAAAAAAAATTCTACGTAAATCAAAGTACACACAATTACCTTGTCCTCCGACAGATCGTTAAAGCGTTTTACAAGAGCATCCGTTTGTCGGCTAAATGGAAATTCAAATATTTCCCTAAAGCGGCACACAAGTAACTATCATCGGCAGAGCAAACACGCCTGTCATCGCAGCCATTTGTCGTATTGGAGAAGATGGCTGTAATTTGGAGGTATATTCGACGTGCTGTCACGCTAATCTGCTGATAACAGGCTTCTAAAGCGGAAGGAAGGGATAATTTAGGAGGCGAGCTCCTGCACAAACCACGCGCAGAATCACATGACGCCGCAGTGAAAAAAAAAAATAATTGAGCGAGTAAGGTGCAAGAAAGGGTAAGAATTAAAGACAATTTCTTTGTGAGTCTAATATGATATGGATTTTTTTTTTAAATTTCGGCTTTTCTATGCAGATTTGAGCTAGGATCCTGCTGGGGGGGGGGGGGGGACTACCCAGTTGACAGGCCACTGGCCTGCCCTCGTGTTGTAAAGCGCTGTGCAAACTGTTGGAACGATATCCCGTAAATCCTGTATAATAATGACTGAAGGAATGCACACGGCAGCAGGTCAGATATAGCCCTCCCCATGTCATGACTGGAGCACGTCCAGCATTATCTAGTCCACATATGTCAAACACAAGGCTAGACCATTTCATGTGGCACCCCCTCAACTCTGCCCCCCACCTTGTCTCAGCAGTCAGCAGCAGAGAGGAGGACAGAACTCCTCCTACAGATCCTGCACCTCTGTGCAGCTGCAACACCCCCTTTTCTCCACCTCCCCTGGTCTTAGCATTCAGCAGACCCCAGCAGCTGACTCCGGCCCTCCTCTGGTCCTCCTCCAGAACCTGCACTGTTTCCCAGCTCCTCCTCCAGCTTCCTACCAGCAGCAGCATACGGTAAGGGATGTGCACTGTGAAGTAAGGGAGGGTGGTGGACTCTTGACTTCTGATGGTGGGGGGGATCTTGACATCTGATGTAAGGGGGGGGGGAAGTTCTTGACATCTAGTCTTGCAGGTACAACAGACCCTGTAAAGGCAACCATAACGGTCATGTGGCCCATGATGAAACTGAGTTTGGCACCCTTGCTCTACTAGTCCTTTCCTCTCTTATCTGACTGTCCATGGCCCGTCCCTTTCATTCATTGGATTTCAGTTCTTGCAATCATGAAGGTTCAGTATCACATGTGGGTGTGACCTAGGGTGGTCTGCATGTGAATACAGTATGCCTAGGACCACCCACTCCTCCAGACTGACACCCACCCAGTTTGTATAACTCCTTCCAAGAGCCATCCAACTGCTTGCATCATGGTGAAGGGCTATTTAGAGGAGCACTGAGGAAGGGGGCTGTGCTGTTTTCAGGAAACTGTGTGCAGCCCCCTATCTGGCACTCTTACCAGCCATGATCTGCCTGTATTGCATAAAGAAGCACAGAGACCTAGTGATGATACCCAAAATAAGGTACAGTTGCAAGAAAAAGTATGTGAACCCCTTGGGATTACGTGGAGTTTTGCATGAATTGGGCATAAAATGTGCTCTGAACGTCATCTAAGTCACAACAATAGAAGAACACAGTCTGCTGAACATAATACTACACAAACATTAGATGTTGCCATGGTTTAATTGCACATAACATGTAAACATTCACAGTGCAGGGAGGAAAAAGTATGTGAACCCCTTGGGATTACGTGGAGTTTTGCATGAATTGGGCATAAAATGTGCTCTGAACGTCATCTAAGTCACAACAATAGAAGAACACAGTCTGCTGAACATAATACTACACAAACATTAGATGTTGCCATGGTTTAATTGCACATAACATGTAAACATTCACAGTGCAGGGAGGAAAAAGTATGTGAACCTTTGGACTTAATAACTGGTTGACCCTCCTTTGGCAGCAATAACCTCAACCAAACGTTTCCTGTAGTTGCAGATCAGACCTGCACAATGATCTGGAGTCATTTTGGACCACTCCTCTTCACAAAACTGTTTCAGTGTAGCAATATTCTTGGGATGTCTGGTGTGAATCGCTCTCTTAAGGTCATGCCACAGCATTTCAATCGGGTTGAGGTCAGGACTCTGACTGGGCCACTCCAGAAGGCGTATTCTGTGCTGTTGCAGCCATTGTTTTGTTGAATTACTTGTATGCTTTGGGCCACTCCTAATCTAATGTTTGTGTAGTATTATGTTCAGCATACTCCAGGTTGTTGTGCAGGTCTGATCTGCAACTACAGGAAACGTTTGGTTGAGGTTATTGCTACCAAAGGAGGGTCAACCAGTTATTAAGTCTAAAGGTTCACATACTTTTTCCTCCCTGCACTGTGAATGTTTACATGTTATGTGCAATTAAACCATGGCAACATCTAATGTTTGTGTAGTATTATGTTCAGCAGACTGTGTTCTTCTATTGTTGTGACTTAGATGACGTTCAGAGCACATTTTATGCCCAATTCATGCAAAACTCCACGAAATCCA